TCTGTGAGCTGCCATAAGATCTTGTATATATTTCCCTGTGCTATACAGTATAATCTTGTTTATCTATTCTACAATTTTGAAATCCCAGTCTATCCCTTCCCACCCCCCACCCCCTTGGGAGCCACAAGTTTGTATTCTATGTCTATGAGTCTATTTCTGTTTTGTATTTATGCTTTGTTTGTTTGTTTGTTTTTTAGATTCCACATATGAGCTATCTCATATGGTATTTTTCTTTCTCTTTCTGGCTTGCTTCACTTAGAATAACATTCTCCAGGAGCATCCACAGCTTAAACTTTCTGTGAGGCTGTGTTCTTCCTGCCACGTATCCATTCAGTCATCACATTGTGGCAATTTTACTTAAACCCATGCATTTCTTCTCTTTGATATAGCCACCATCACCCTAGTCTAAGCTACCAGTATCCCTCCCCTGGAGTACTATATTTGCATCCAAACTGGTCTGCTCTCTTCCATTCTTGTCACCACTAGTCTGTCATCACATACACCCACAATGATTTTTTAAAAATCAAAATCTGATTCTGTTGTTCCTCTGCTTAAAATCCTCGGTGTCCTGTATTGTTCAGTAAGCCCTCAGAACATACTTGTTGAATCAGTGTGAATGAGTGAATGGCTGACTGATGGAATACGTGCTTGAATGAATGAATGAATGATTTTGACAGTCTATTTGTTTTTGCTGATTTGAGCTTTTGTCCTGATTGATGATTTTTTTTTAAGTGCAGATACACCCAAATATAATGGAGCGTTTCTGTGCCAAGTTTCTTAAGTGTTCAGTAAAGTTTTCTTACTTGTGGAGACAAATAGTGGACTTTTAAAAATTCAATTATATAAAGTACCTAGTCCTGCATTTAACTTAAAATGACAATCTAACAAGTTTGGAGCTGTTTTGACCTTTCTGCTTTTTCTGTTCTTTTTTTCTTTCAGCTAATTGTGGAGATTTCTTCTGTGTCCCCAGAATCTTTAAACTACTGTACCACCAGTGGATTGGTAACCCAGCTCCTTAAGGAACTGACTGGTGAGGATGTGCTTGTCAGGTACGTTGGCTGAGAGAGTTTAGAGCAAAATGTCCTCTTTTGGAGGGCCAGGTGACAACCTTGGGGCTTAGTGTGGTCTTCCCGAGTAGAGCCTGTGCTTAGGTTGCAGTCTCGTGACCAGATGTCCTGAAGACGGGGCCTTTAGAAAACTGTTCAAGGTACATGCAGCATGCTGGAACTTAGCAAAGTCTTGCATGACAGTTCAGCTACTTTTGAATAACTGTGTTCCCTGTCCTTAGGCATGTGTGCTCTTTACAGAGTTGCCAATCACATGGCAACTGCCATTTTGTATTACTTAACAGGTTAACGTACACATTTTTTGTGTTGTTAAATAATAGCACTATGGCATGACGGAAAAACGTGGACTTCTGAAAATGGTTCAGACTTGGGCTTGCATGCTTCTCTGCCACTTATTAGCTGTTTGACCTTAGAGAAATTCTTCTGACCTTTCTGCACCTGAGTTTCCTCATCTCCTAACTGGAACACTGACAACCCTGTAAAGAAGATCATGTGAGGAGTAAATGAATTGACCATGGAGACCAATACAATGGCTGACATAGGTTCTCAAAGAAATGTTAATTCCAGTCTCTCTACTCCCAGCCCCACCTTACTCCCTAAGTCCCCTTTAACATTTGCCAAATGTTTCCTTGTGGATATTCCACAATTTACTGACACTTCCTCACTGTTGAGCACTTGGTTTGCTTCAAGTATTTTGCAGTTATAATAGCACTATAATTACCTTTGTGTACAAATTTTGTTTTCTTTATTTTAAATGATTTTCCATTTATCCTGTCTTCTTTAAATGACTGAATTTGTTAGACTCACAAGCATAAACCAGTAACCAGTTACACTGTTTTAAAGCATTTGAGTTACATTGTTTCAAAGCATTCCTAATAAGGAAATTATTTTGTTAAATTTCTTTAGCTTTGTATCAGATTTTGCAACATAGGAAAAAACCTTGCAAAATACTCAGCTAAGTTACCTTAGGATCAACTGTA